CCTTTGCTGGTACATGTCAAGCGCGTAGGGTCGTGGTCTTGTGGCCGTCCTGTCCGCGATGGACCGCTGGCATTGCGCGCTTCTAGAACGACCGTGTCTGGTATTTCCGCTTTGCCTGTGTTGGCATCTACACCGCTCTGCGGCGGCTCGCTGCCGTCCATGGTTCGCACGATAACGCTTCTCACTTTCGGAACGGCTAACCGCACTTGAGCAAGGGCCATGGAAGGGTTGACGATCGCCGGTCTTAGGACTTTTGGAGGCTCTGTCATTTCGTTGCTCTTAGCAGCTGCAGCAGCGGGAGGGACAAGACCATTTTCACTGTTTATAACGATTGCTGCGCCTCCAGGCTTCACCGAACCTGCCAGTCTTTTCTCCACTTGCCGGTCCTCATCGCCTTCGATCTCGGCGAATTTTCGCTTGTTCCCGATCAGCATGGTTGCAAGTCCGCCTCTCGGGAAACCATCGTACGGCTTTGAAAGGTCTATAATGTTGTGGGGGTTGTCACTCCTGCCGCCTGACGTTGTCGTCGCAGAAAGGAGCTGTGTTTGAGGTAACGAAGACTCGCCAACACCAGACGAGGATGACATGAGCATAGGTGCTATACGCTTCTTGCCATCCTTGGTGACAGTCACTCTTTGCTTCAGCTTCTCAACCCTCACGTCCGGGGGTGGCTCAGCCGGGGCCTGTGGTGGTGCTGCGGCGCCCGATCCATTGGTGAGAGTCGTCGAGGGAGTGACGCCGTTGGTGCCGTTAGTGATGGTCGGTGGTTGAACTGCACCTCCGTCGCCCATTAGTGCACCCATCCTGCCTTGAACGCCCTTCAGCTCCCCACTCTTACTGCTCTCTTCTAGGAGTAGCGCGTCTGTGCCCTCGATGATACCAACTCTTCTTCCGGCACCGAACTTAGCGAGTGTCTTTTCGTTCTCCGCAAATGTCGCTGGGTAGCCAAGTTCTCCGGGTTCGAAAACAAGAGTCATTATGCTGCCGTCCAAGCTCGTTGCGTATAGCGTTTCTCCGTTTGGTGACCATGCCAAGTCGGAGATGGATTTGCTAGCCAACTCTTGCGAGCACATGAACGGCCTGGGGAAGCTCGTATTCCACACACTTAGGCATTTGTCTTGTCCGGCGCAAGCGACAATAGTAACCGTCTGCTGGTTGATGGTTCCGTCTTTTTCTGGCCTTGGCTCATCCCGGTAGAACAGCCTTGGAGAGAATGAGGTTACTTCAACAGGCCCTTCGTGGCCGACCAGACTGATATCTCCATCCCACGTTCCACGCGCCAGAATAGCGACGGAGCTGACTGGTCCGTTTGTGGCGTTTGCAGCGGCAATATGTGCGCCGTCGGGTGACCACGAGCAGCGGCGGAAGTATGTGGTGAGCGGGGAGGTTTGGAAGGGTGCGGTGATGGTGTGGTCCAGGACGAAGTTGTTGACCTGGTCTTGCTGCGAGGCGTTCGGGGGCGGGGAGTTGAATCGGTAGACTTTGATGGTGCGGTCATCGCTAGCCGTAGCGAAGTATTTGTTGGCGGGGTCAAACGTTATGCCCTTGACGTGACTCTGGTGGTTTGATAGCGTCTTCAGCTTTTCGAACGAATGCCCAGACCAGACTACCACTTTCGAGTCCAACCCCACCGACACCAATATTGACGAGTCAAATGACCAGCCGAGATCTTGTACGTCGTTGTCGTGTCCTATGAGGCGACGAATGACGCGCCAATTCTCGACGGGCGGCGGTTCGTTGGATCCTGTAATGCTATCAGCCTACGTCCCTTGTACCTGCCCAACGTATACCCACCAAATGCTGTATGTGTTGGTGCATTCTTGTCGAGCGCATAGACACACACTATCTTGTCGTCTGCGCCAGACGCCAGGTATTTGCCGTTGGATGAGAAGCGGACCGCATGGATGGTGCCGGAGTGGTTGCTGACGGCCGCGAGCTGCTTCGGCTTCGTATACGAGGGGTCGTTGGAATTTAGAATGGCCTCGGTAGACCAGACACGTACATAGCCGTCTATAGATGTGTGTTAGTGTAATTCTGAGGTGCGTCGCATCGCGTGGGAATCGAGGGTGGGTTGACGAACCTCCGGCGGCCGTGGCCAGGCGCGATCCATCAGGGGAAACGTGGCAGCTGTATACTTCAAAGTCTTTCTGTTCGCCTAGTAGGAATGCATGTCAGCAAGATGCTAGCAGAAAAGGGCATGCATGCGCGGGTGCACCCACCGGGATGAGTTAACCACTGTGGTTTAATGAGATGCATGGTCGCGTGTGTGTCGCTAGCAGTTGACTCATGCTATTACGCGACCATGAAATGATTACTGGGAGTGCTGGGTGCGGTGGTGGAGGGTTGGTGGTTGAGGCGCACGTTGTGGTGCAGCGCGACAGTTGTCTGGTATTGGCGACGCGATCTCGCGGTTGACGCTACTTGGCAGACGTTTGGGCAGGGGTTTAAGGTTTAGGTGCATGCGCCGATCGGGAAGTGGATGTTAAACGAGCAGCTCACGGTTGGAGGGAATCAAGCATCAAGTGTATTTAGAGTATGGCATGTGTTTGTGATAATACAGTGAACTTGGTGTTCCTTCACCTTGGTCTCTCTGATTCTCTGCGAGGCAGCCCTGGACAAGTCTCAAGTCCTACTTGCACTCTCCGCTCCACCATTGGTTGCCCCTTCACAAAGACACCTAAAAACAGTACTACACTAGCTAAATGCAGCTCTTCCCCGAGAGCTTGTTCATTTGCGGAGTCATTCGGACCCTTGTGGTGGATGGTCATGATATCCTGCTGCATGCGCATGCCCATACTCACCATTAAAACTCATTTGAAGTTGCCCCGGACTTATTGCGAAATTCCACTCTCGACTGTAGTCCAAGTTGGAGCTGAGATAGGCGAGGTTCAGGAGGAGATCGGTAGCAGCGTGAGCGGTTGGTGCAGATGTTGTGGGTTGTGTCGCTAGTTGTGTCGTTCATTTCGCCTTCTTCCTCTTCTTAAACACCACAGCCGGAGCAGCTGGCGCGTCCTCTTCTGTCTTGACAACAGTCTCAGCAGCCTTCGCCTCCGCTTCCTCGGCCGTGGGTATATCCTGAAGGGTGTTCGTGCCGCTGTCATCTTCAACTTCGGCTTTCACTCCATCCTCTTGGTCTTCTTTCCTCACTTCAGCCTGTGGCTTCTTTTTCCCAAGCAAACTCTCGATATCGTCGTCGCCGCCCTTGCTGCCTGGGAAACTCTTGTAGGTATGGCCCCAGCCCTTCCGTTTCGTGATCAGCTCACCAGCAGCTTCCCGTTCCTCCTCATCCTCGTCAAGTTGTCTCTTCCGTACGCCCTTGTTCAACGACGTCGCCTTGAACTCTCCATCTTCCGTCACTTCTCCCACGACTTCTTCCTTGACCGTCTTCCATTCACCTGCTATCGCCATATCGCCTCTTGCGGCCGCAGGAAGCGCCACGCCCATGGCTGCTAACTGCTCCCATTGTCGTTTCCTGTCATCTACTGTCGCCTTCTGTTGTGGTTTCTTCTCATATGTAGGTTTGCCGCCTACGCCGGTTGCGACGGAAGGCGTGGATGCGGATGGTACGAGGCCATTTAGACGTGCGACCTCTGCTTGTGCGCGCGCCTGGTTGCGCTTCTCGTTCTCTTGTTCGCGATGGAGCCCCTTGAGACTGCGCTGGATGTTGCCTTGGTGGCGGCCGGTCGCTTCGTGTTGCGCGCGTTCGAATTTGGTATCCTTCACAAAGGTGGAGCAGAACTTGCACCAGTATTTGGGCTGTGATATAATTAGCACATGATGCACTTATCAGGCATAGTCTTACTTACTGTTGACTTCCAGTACTCGGCCATGCTTGTGTGTCGTGGAGTGACGTGCAACCAGCGACAGTCGGGGAAAGCTTACCTGGCGCACGGTGCACCTCGGCGGTCCGCAACGCTAGGAAAGACGAGTTCGCATAGCGTGAACCACGGCTGCGGGTCTTTCACCGCTCTCCACTCCTAAACCCTAGCCTAATATTACGCTGTAGAAGACGTTATAGTACATACTTATAAGCTTATTAATTACTAGTTTACTAATTATATTTTTTTTACTTACTTTAAACTAAAATAAAAATATATTTTACTTATTTTTATACTTTTTTTTAAAAATTATTTATAAAAATCTTAATAGCCTTTTTATTATTAGTAGTAGTATTATTAGTAAGAAATTTATTATAAAGTTATTTAAAAGCTTTTAGCTTTATAAGTATAAAGTACTAAATAATATTATTAGTATTATTAAAAATATAAATAGCTATAACTTTATATATAGTAATTACTTATAGCTTAGTAGTACACTTTTAGCTAATAGTAAACTTATACTTAGTAATATAGTTAAAAAACTTTTTTTTAAAAAAGTTAGAAATAATAAATAATTTATATTTATTAAAGCTAAGTTTTAATAGTATTAAGTAAGTATAAAGCTTTAATTATACTACTATCTTAAAGTTTTATATATAAGTAAGTAAAAAAAAAAATATATAGTATTTATAAAGTTTTATTTTATTTTTTTAAGTACTAGTAGTATATAACTATAATAGTATACTTTAGTTATTAAGTTAAGATTTTTTTAAATTTTTATAGTTAAGAAACACTATAGCTAAGGCTTACTTAGACACGTGACCTAAAACCTAATCGCTCTTTACATGTCTTCTAGCTTATTTCCTTCTTGGTTACGGTTTTCGACTCGAGTTTCCACATTTAGCAGGCCATGCCCCCGCCATCAGATCCTTGTACGTCATTGAGACGACTAAGAAGAGCATGGATTTACTTGACGGACACCGGGTAGCAGCAGAAAGCAAGCCCTTATTATCATCACGCCCTTCCTACGTACTGACTGGTCGACTACACCAACATGGCTGAGCTAAAGGATGCCAGACGCCTTAGCGAAGCGCGTGAACACAATCGTCTGCCGCCTTAGCCGTCACCCTCTATCCTGTCCGATCGTTTAAACAATGTTCCTTTGTAATACCTCGCATTTCCATGGAGCCTCAGATGGCTGTATCACTGGCTTCAGCTGTCATACAACTTGTCGACTTTTCGAGGAAAGTGGTCCAAAAGGACAAGGTGGGCAAAGTATCTAAATCCACCAGCACCACCCTAGGAGAGGCTACACTGCTCGATGACGCCATCGCTAATCTCGGCGACTTATCACAACAACTTGAGAAGGCACGACGCGCATACTACAAGTCTCATATATCCCCTGATCAGGAAACTGCAGATGCGCGTCTGAATGTATTGGCGAAAGATGGCGGGGGAGTGGCGAAGATCTTACAGGCCACACTGGACCAAGCGAAGCGCGACAATGCCGTGGACAAGGAGACGGTACTTGCACAAGGACTACGCAGCATTCTGAACTTGTACTACAGTCAGAAGACGATATGTGATCTTGCGGATAAACTTGGCTCTATTCGTAAGCAAGTAGATGTCGCTCTGCTTGCCTCGCTCCGGTCAGTGAGATGTCACCAGTGCGATCACACATTGACCCAGATCATAGGCAGTATGCGGTTCAAAGGCATTCAGTTCATTCAGAGAAAATACGGATTCCGGTGGACGGTGACACAGGACCTGATATACTCCTACTCCAGTCTATCGCGCATCACGATTGGAAAACTACGGAGACGGTTGATGTCGCTGCATTTTCAGACACATTCGAGAACTCCGTCGTAAACAATGATATGGAACGCCGATTCGCCAGCTTGATGTTGGCGCGCTTGCATTTCACTGGCATGCACGATCGGTACAAGGCAATTCCCATTGCACACCCGAGAACCTTGCAATGGATATTTGATGCAATTCCCGAACGGCCCAACACTGATGACGTCGAATTCTTTCCCCAGAGGCTCACAGCAACAGGGTGTAGCAATACATATTGGATCAGTGGCAGGCCAGGGACTGGGAAGAGTACGCTGATGAAATTCGTGTCTAGTCACCCTCGCACCGCCGCTCACCTGCGCGCCTGGGCCAACGGAAGGACACTTGTCAAAGGAAGTTCCTTCTTGTCTAGTCTGGGCAACGACATGCAAAAGTCGCGTATGGGGCTTCTACAAACCTTGCTTCACTCTGCGCTCAAAGGCGACATGGAAATCCTGATCCAGGTCTTTCGTCATCGCTGGCAACAATTCCTTGCTTCTGGTGGAGGACGACAACCTTTCACATGGCTTGAACTGCGTCAGGCCTTTATAACAATGATCTCCACGCCTAGCACACCAACATCGTTCTTCTTCGCAATCGATGGCCTAGACGAACTCGAGGGCGGCCTGAAAGACCTTCTTCAATTAATCAAAGATATAGCCAAATATCCAAATGTCAAGGTTTGCGTTGCCAGTCGGTCGTCGCCAGAGCTTCTTCGCGCATTGGCAGGCCATCCTAATCTACGCCCTGAACGTTGGAATCGCCAGGATATCTGCAACTACGTCACGGCCTCCCTAGCAAGGTCGCAAGTATACGTCAAGCTCAGCAAAACGGATCCCACTCGCGCCACTGAACTGGCCAAAGGTATAGCCAAGAAGGCAGCCGGCGTTTTTCTCTGGGCACACATCGTGGCGCAATTGTTGCTAGATGATCTGTCACCGACAGCCCGCATAGGTAATCTCATTGCTCGGCTCGAGAAAATTCCATCGGGACTAGAGCAACTATTCACCAAACTCCTCGGACGTCTGGACTCGAAGCATCTCAAGCACGCGTCGCAAATCCTCCGTCTGATGACGATAAAACCACGGCCCCTTCTGCTCGAGCTATGGTTTGCAGACAGCAACAACGACGACGCGGCATTGAGGGATGAAGCCCGACCGCTGTCAGATAATGACATATTCGAGCGTCTCGGGATGATGAATCGTCGACTGATTTCTCGATGCAGAGGATTTCTAGAGACAGATAGCCAGTATGGAAGTGCAAGGTCTGGATTGTCAAAGGGTAGGCTGGAGTTCCATTACAGATCCGGTCATAGCTAACCACCTATAGCGTCTCGTGTTACCTGGACACACCGCATTGCGAAAGACTTTGTCCGATCTCAACGAATATGGAACATCATACTCGATAACACCGGCCATGATGCTTTCGATCCTGAGTGGCACTGGGCCAACGGTCAACTAGGTCTATTCAAGACCGTTGCCGGGACCACCAGCACCAAGACTTCTCACTTCCTATCTTGCGTCGAATACGCACTGCGACTAGAGCAGCGGCTCAATATCTGCCCCGTCAAGTTCCTAGATGAAGTCGGCCGTACCGCAACGATATACGCGACTGTGTACGACGACATCGTGCCTCGGAAACTCAAAGGCACTATCAATAGCTTTCTAGAGTTCGCCGTACTGTTCAATCTCGTAAGCTACGTTCGTGGCAGAGGCCTAATGCTATCGAGAGACGAGTTATTACATGCTTCTCGCTTGCTAGGCGCGCTGGACGGTAGGAAGTGGGAAGTGTTTGTAAAGCGTTTTGAGCACTCTGGGATCTGGAGTAAGGAGTTTGAAGAAAGAAAAAAGGATATGCAACAGGTGGTGGACAGTTTGCTTGATCGCGGAGGCGGTGAGTCAAGGTGGCAAAGAGCGAGGAAGAGACTATCTAGGCAGAAGAAGACGTGAGTCGTTATGTGTCGCGTTTGAATCAGGTGCTTGGAAATCGATGGGGCAAGTCCTAATGGACGATCTTGTTACATCGTCCATAACCATGAGTTGGGATTGTATCATCGCATCGCCGCGGATGCATACATTACAAACTCCGCCCACCACAACCTTACAACACCTGCCACGGCATCAACATCCATCTTCCTCCCAGTCCACCTCACTCCATCTTCGGCGCCCTCAAGTTCAAATTGTCATACTCCGGCAATTCCCACCTCTTCTCCTTCCCCTCCGGCAGCCACCCCGCGAGCCAACCAAGCACCTTATCCACCCTCGCTGTCGAAATCGACCAAAGCACCCAGCCCACAAGCCAAATGCCCCATGCCGACTCCGGAAAGAACTTCCATTCCTTCACCAACGGCCCCAGTTCCTGACACTCCTTAACCGGCTGCTTCATCTCCTCTTGGTACGCTTCCAGCGCCGCGTCGACATCACTGCCACACCGCGCCAGCTCGCCAGCGAGGACATACGCGCCAATGAGTGACAGTGTTGTTCCCATGCCCGTGAAAGCAGAGGGACAGTACCCCGCGTCCCCGAGCAGTACGACTCGGTCTTTATACAATCGCCCGCTGGGCATCTTAACCTGCCCGATTTCCGTAGCGTAGAAATCCTTCACATCCTCCAACCCCTTCAGGAACCGCGGACACTCCCACCCCGCATCACCATATTCCTCGGTCCAAACGGCCTTCTGCTCATCCACCGGTTTCTTATACGTACCTCTCATGCGACTCGCCCGCTCCTCACGGTTGTTCAAGAGGAAGAGGTAGACCTGTGTGACGGGACGGTCGCCCGTGCGCGTCATTACCATGCGGTTCTGCGGACCGAAGTAGATGCGCGCGAGACTGTTTTCTGAGGGCAGGCGCGGGACGTTGTAGTACGCGGCGTGTATGTTGAGAGATTTGAAGGAAGCGTCACTGGTTTCTTGACCGAATGCGAGGCGACGGGTTCGTGAGGATTGGCCGTCTGCAGCGATGATGAGGTCGAATGTCGATGTCGAACCCGTGGAGAATGTCACTGTTGTTGTCCTTGTCGATGGATCTGGGGAGAGTGCAGTAACAGTCGTCCCAAACACATACTTCAGACTACCACCGTAGCCTTGATTGTCCAATGTCTCGCGCTCCTGCAAACTGATATCATAAACCAACCTCACAAAATCCCCCCTCATAAACTCAAACTCGTTCGTCAGCGTCCTCCCCGGGTTCTCCCCCGCAGCCGTCACACCAAACTGCATCAAGCTCTTGCCGTTCCCATCAATGAACTCCAGGCCGCTCTCGTGGACACAATAGGGCCGCAGTGTTTCGAGGAGACCCAGCTTCTTCATGATGGGGATGCCGTGCGCTTTTAGGTCGATTTGCTGGCCGCCTGTGCGGAGGGAGGGGTAGCGTTCGAGGATTGTGATGGTGTGGGTGGGGTTGCTGCGTTGGAGGATGAGGGCGAGGAGGGGGCCGCAGACGCCGGCGCCGGTTATGAGGAGGTTTAGGGGGTGGGGTTGTGAGGTCGTCATTACTGCGGTGGTAGGACTGGGGGGTTGCTTTGATGGTTTGCTAGTACCTAGGTAGTTGGACGCACGCACAACGCAGGAGGACTAGAGAATGGGGTTCGTAGGTAGAGAAGAGTAGGCGATATGCTTGGAAGGCAATGATGCCAGCTGGATGTTAGCCGGGTCTATCCTTCCAGGCATCTTCACTCTTATATCGACATTGCTACACAAAGCCGGCGCAGTACGATGCTCCCCCGAACGGCATTCTCGCACATTGGGGCGGAGACCGTGTTCTCCGAGCTCTTCTCCGAACGCTGTTAATGCGGACATAAAAGGTGATAACCATTAGGGATCCAATAGCGGAGCTATGTAGACTGTTGCCTTGGCATCCTTGTTGACTCTGCTGCAGTCGGCGTCAGCGCGCATGGGTGTTTGGACGCCGTATGTCGCTCAACGAAGAAGGATATCTGCCGTTTAGAGACTGTAATACTGTTGGGAGTCACTGGCGTTATTGAACAGGAATGAGTTGATAGTTGACAGGACGAACGTCGTGATGATGCAGACTTCAGGGTCTGCGGGCGGATCACCTGTCGGCGCCAAGCAAAAGTGAAGCTCGTCGCTTCGCATCACCAACACCGACCTCCACCAACCCACCCGCCTTCTGCGCTACATCGACACATAGGTCATCAGACCCTGTACATAACAACTTACAGCCGGTTATCGCCGACGTCAGACTCTCGAAAAGTCAACAAGCCGCACACGGCCCACCAAACTCCGCAATGGCTATCCTAGGGACGGCCCTCAACGGCATCGGCGCGCTCTTCCTCACACATGCGTACGTGTACACGTAGCTCATATCTCTATATCCCCAAATATAGAGACACATGAGCACCACCACACAATCCCTCCCAGAAACTAACCCCCACCAGCGTCTATTCAACCCACGAACACACCGCAACCTTCGCATCCACGCCCCTCCCCCTCGACATCTCGCTCGAACTCCTCACCTCCATCCTCATCCTCTCTCTCGGCATCGTCATATCGTTTGCGCCACTAAAGCCAATACAATACGCACAATGGGCGGGCCAAATCTCGCGGGAAGGACGACACGGCGAGGGCTACTACACTAAAGAGGGTGAGGAGGTTTTGAGTGAGGGTGATCCGTATGCGTTTTTGGGATTGGATGGCGGGATTGGTGGGAAGGGGGAGGGGAGGAAGGGGTTCTGGGATGTTAAGGGGAAGAGGAAGGAGTATGAGGAGTGGGTTAGGCAGGGTGGGAAACAGTAGATGGAAACGGACGGCGGGGGAGATTTGGGTTGAAGAAGTCCAGCGGATGGGCGTGATGGACTGGCAACGCGCACCGGTGGTGTGCTTGGGCATGCATATCGTCACGAAGCGTCTCATACCCGGTACGAAAGATGATTGTATGTCGACCACCGTTATGCCTATCGTACATCGCACGAATGCCCGATCTCGATGCCCCATACCCTGTGTCTCGACTATCCAAATACCCAGACGCCATGCTTAAACGAGCAGAACCAGCAATCCCAATCAATCTGTTCCCATAGCTATTGCTTTCCAACCCTTTCCTCACGCCTCGCTCGTCATCTTCTCAACCTGATTCCCTCCACACCCATTCACCCTACAGGCCCAGCACTCCTTCCCCTCCATCTCCTCGCCAATAGCCGCAACATCCGCACTCTTCCTCCTCGGCCCCTCCGCATCCCCATTAACATCAACACCACTAACCCACCAGATCCCCGCCGCAATCACCTTCGCCACAACCTCCACCTCCGCCTCATCCCTCGGCGCATAAACCAGCATGAACTCCCTCGGAACAAACTTCCTACACCAACCCCCCCTCGCAAGCGGATGTCTCTCACCCCACCCCATCTCAATCAACAGATTGGCATCCGCAGGATGCAACGTCATATGCATCGACCCATCACTAGGATGCGCATGACAAATCTCGCCTCCACACGTCCTCGTAATCGGCACACTAGTAAACAACCCAGAACTATGCTTCTCAAAGCAACTCGTACGCTCCAACAACCTATTCCCCGGATCCGCCGCAAGACCCTTAATCTTGGCTACCAAGCACGCATAAACCGCTTGCCCGCTCTTCTGCGTCTGCTGTCTCTGCGGCGCGATACCGCGGATGAGCGGCTTGGTTCCTTTGCGAGTGGGTAGTGAGGCGGGCGTGAAGTAGCCTTTTTGCGGGCGGAAGTGTGGGGGGATGGCGATGGGGCGGAGGGGGTCGCGCAGGCAGATTAGAGAGAGGAGTTTGATTTTTAGGTAGCCGAGGGGGGTTGCTGGGGTGCCGCCGGGGCCGAGGGAGAGGAAGGCGCGGTAGTCTTTGTGGATGTAGAGGGCTGTTAGGGTGGGGAGGAGGAGGGCGAGCGTGGCGATGAGCATGTGGAGGTGCGTTTCTGTGAACATGCTTGGTTGGGGTGGTGGTATGGTCGGTTCGTAGGATGGGTGTAGGGTTGTGGTAGTGAGGTTGTGCGGGTCGACCATGTTGGATGTCCAGTGATGTTTTTGGGTGCACGTCCTAGAGGTAATTGAAGACGTGGAAATTGAACAGAGAAGGTGTGAGGTTTGCTGACAGTCCTCTTATGACTTCCTTCTCAACAAGACAAGAGAATAACAGAACCCAGGAAAGCACAATAGCTCCGTGGCCCCAGTAAAGAAAGGAAGATCAGCCCCACACGTGCACTGCAGGAAGGAAGGTCGGTGAGTACCACGCGAAACTCAGGGTCCGCGGGACCTAAGAAGGGATGACGTTGAATTGATACAACAAACAAAGCTACCCACTCAGATACCAAACGAGCGCCTCGATACAGTAGAAATCCAGAAGCAGAAGCCTAAAAGCCCCAAGTACCAGCTCACATCCCCACCACAAGCACACGCAACCCCTTCTTATAATCTCGAAAGCCACGCCAGCAAACCAACGCAGCAACCATAGCGACCGACCGACCGCCCGACGTCAACCCCGTGGTCCCCAAAACCACAATCCACGTGCCTAGCCCCGCATCCGGTTAGCACGGCCCTCACCTGCATGTTTGTGGGGTTAGCGGCCGGCCGCGCTAGCAAGCCCATTGGCCCACATCACGGTGCCTGTGACGTTTGACCTAAATCAACAATGCTGGCCGTTCGCTTCCCCATTCTCTCTGTTTATCCACTCGCTGCAATTACCTTCGTCATTCTGTCGTGGGTGCGTTTATGAGAAGATGGTCTGGGCGCTTTGAAGGTTTGCATCGCCGATGTGCGGGAGTAAGGGTGAGGGAATTGGGGGTTGTACGAAGGGAGCGGGCATGATGCTGGTGAGGGGGATGCTGAGATCAGCTGTGCTCACGTGGTCTTGTGCACGGTTATTCTTTCTAGAAGAGGGGTTTTTGGGAGCTGACTTCTCGTGTTCAGCCTCTTTCTTACGTATGCCCGCTGTCTTGAGGTATGTGCTCGTTCGCTCGTCGCGGCATGAATTGGCGAGGTACGCTGGCACGCTTTGACCATCAGCTGGGTGTTCTGATCACCAACGGACGAACCGGAAGCTTGCCAGAAGGTCATCAGGCGCAGGACTAGCTTCGTGGTGTCAATACCCGCTAGTTCACGATAGCTGGTGTCGGCGTTGCGAGATAGACTCCCTGCAGCGTGCAGCATGCAGTGTGATCGGAGGAGCGGTGATGCGTGGCGCGCTGTGAGCTCTTTGCATTATCGCCGAGCTCGGAACTTGGGTTCGAGACCATGGCTGTCAGTACACGGTCGTTTGGTTTTAGATTGAGGTAAACGGTTTGTTCATGGGTATGCGTGCTTGCAGCTATGTATTCCACAATTGGGAAAGCAACTCGGTCGCCTCTCGATTACATTGAAACTCATAGCGCATCGATACAAGCGGTGCAAGAGCGATACGAGAGAATAGAAGAGTGATTTAGAATCGAGGCTTTCGAAATGGTGGAGATGCTGGCTAATTGCGAAGATGGGTAGGTGATGGGCGAGGACCGCACAACGACGAAGGCTCTGCAGATTCCCGTGCGTTCCAGCTCATCACGCCGCAGTCGTAGATCAGTCTTCCCACGTGATCCGCACCTCAAGGAGCTTGTAGTTCGCGGGGAATCCAAGTTCAGTAAGATTCTTACCCACATGTTCCTGCCGTCTGGGCCGCAAACGACTATTCCATGATACCTCCTGAGCTCGACATTTTCCAGTAATATTGACGAATACTGCCTCTTGCATGTTGGCCTCTCTCTGTTTTTCATCTGGCATGAACATCTCAAGCTCGGCGGAGACCACTCTTTCGGCTTGGCGCGCGTCCATGTTCTTCAGGACCGACACTGCAGATTTTATCTCATGCATCATGTCAGACGTGAGAAAACAACTCCTGTAGCCCCCTGGGCAGAAATTCATTTTGAATGAAGGAAACCCTTTCTGAACTTGAACCAATTGAAGAAGATCGACTTTCCGTTCTTCACCAGTTCCGAATTTGTCGAGGCGTATGAGGATATAACGGTTAATCGTTCGTAAACTTTCGTATGGTCGCTTGATGAAGAAGACGTGCAGGTAATTGTTCAGTTGTCGGAAGGGGACGACGGGACTGTATAGCCGCAGCCTGATGGACGGAGACAGGTACATAGGCGCGAACTCGTCGTGGACTTGCTCATGAGAATTGACAAGGTTTATGGCGTCAGCACATTTTGGTGTTAGATGGAGGAATTCGGTGTAGATGGCGTTGCGTAGCTCTATATTCAGGACCTGAAATCAGCCCTGGGCAGGTAAATCGTGGGATTTGGAGACCTCGTACCTCCGGGTAGGTCAAGGAAATTCGCTCTGTGGCGGTAGTGTGCGCTGCTTCGAATTTCAGCATTCATCGACTGGCACTGCAGTGTCACACGGCTCTTTTGACATACCTGAGTGCCATGCTGTTGTCGCAACGAGGAATGGAGCGCGTCTTTCGACTCAAATTGGGGCCAGTTCCTGACTCAGGCCAAATCATTAACGCGAAAGCGCATTCACTCTGTCAAACAGGCTTGGGTTTGATGTTCGGCGGTTCGATGCCGTCGGAGAGGTGTCGTAAACGAGACAGAATTGTGTTTGTATAGCGACAACTGCACCCAAATCCAAGGTACCCAGGTGAGGCCTCCCGCCAAGACCGCGCTAAACCCAAGGAATTGACGACCGGGCCGGCGTTAAGCTGTGGGCTGATCTCTCATATCCTCAGCTCATCACATGAATCTAGACCGTCATTACTCGTACATTGCTCTCAAATCCTCCTTGCCCTTTTCCTCCAGTACTCCGCCTTCCACGACAGTGAGATCCTATTCATCTTCCTCACTCTCGGAGACATTGTATTCGCTATCTGGCTCATGCGCTATGTGAAAACGCACTTTGACGCCTCCGCATTCAATGCCAAATCCAAACTTTTCGAAGTCTTGTTCCGTACAGTTCGCCATCAGAGCGATGTCAAGATAGGCTACTAGACCGGCACTGAACCTCTCATCTAAAGGTGGCCTGACAGATAAAGACAGATCAATAGCAGCCAACTTCGCGTACAATTCATCCTCCAGATTTCTGAGTATTGACAGGGGTAAGTCGACGTCTATGTCGTCAACACTGAAAGTGACTCGAGCAGAATAACGCGGAATCGCTATCTCTTCTTCCTCGGAGTTTGCTTCCTCGGAGTCTGCTTCCTCAGATTCTGATTCCTCAGGTTGTGCTTCGTCAGATCGTGCCTCCTCGGGCTGTGCCACCTCGGGCTCGTCTTCGTCCTCGTCTTCTTCTTCGGTTCCTTCTTCTTCTTCAGGTACGTCGGAGCGGTCGCCGCGGCCGGAGTGGGCAGGGCGGTTGGAGTGATTAGAGTAACTACAGCGGTTGAAAGGGTTCAGGTCCCACTCAATGTCGAGTAAAGGATATCCACGCATGAATGCGACAGTTTCAAAGAGGTCGAGGTCCCAGAAGCTCCTGTGCCAACAGAGATCGTTCCAGTCGAGCTGTACAAGGAAGCTGCAAGTGAAGTCCTTTGGTCTCTGGCTAGCGATGGGCTGAAAGGTGTCGCGCAGGAAGGGTATGAGGCAGTCAAGAGGTACTATAGCGTTGCCCTGACTCAGGTATAGTGACCCGAATTCGGAGCGGATCTGCCGATTGACTTGGAGGAACTGGATGCTCTCGTGAAGAGATGGGTCGAGGTCGATGAAGTACTTGTAGACCGCGTTGCGCAGTTCTATAATCTGACGGGTTAGTTGGTCGTATTTGGATAAGCCAGTTCATGATCCGCATACCTCCAGATAACCTGTCAAGGAATGGCGCTCCGCCACTATGGTCCCTGCCACCATCATCGTCAGTTTGTTCTTTCATCAAGCAGGATGTTTGACTGCAGTATACTGGGTTGCCATCGTGGTGCTGGGCAGTTGTAGCTTGAATCCTCTGCCTGTGAGTAGTAGAGGATAGCTTCGTAGGTGGACTGGAAGTCTCTAGGAGCAAACAACATTGTTGTGGACGACAGGTCGTTTTGTCTCAGCGTTCGCCAAGCTCTGCTGTGCAACGTAGACCGCGCTAGACACAAACGACCGGGCAGGCAGCTTCATGAACTCATAATACTGCCTGAATTCTCGCATATTCAGGTAAATGGCATCATGTTCAGACGCGCTATTACTCGTACAAGATCTTAGATCCCTGCGTTCTCTCAATGCATTGTACGATTAAACTGCAGGTGCTGTCTCGCCACTGTCCCATGCATCTTCCCTTACTCCCGAGACATCGTGTGCGCTTTGGTAATGGCTGCTAGATCAAGGTTAACAATATACCTCCGCATTTAAACTTGCGCCCCCCAATTTGGAGTTGGATATCATCGGTATCTTGTTGTGTACAGCCATGCTCCAGCAGGGTGTAGATGCTTCCGATCAACGGCTCCCCAAGAATATGAAGCCATACAGAGTTTACCTTCTCAAACTCGTGATCCTCCATATCCTTTAGAATAGACACATGAGTAGCGAAACCTAAATCGTTGTGGGGCTGAAAGCGGCCAGGCGGGACCAGATTCCATCTGATGTTGAGCAGAGGATACTTTCGCATGGTCGAGATGACGTCCATCAGATTGAACAACCAGTTGTTGGGGTCCTGATTCTCGCTGCCGAGCTCCACGCGAATCGTAAAAGTAACGTCGTCAAGCACTAGGGTCGTAGAAGGGAGGATGAAGGCGCGTAGGAAGCTAGCGACGCCGTCAAAGTAAACTGTGACATTGCCCTGACGGAAGTACAACGATCTGAACTCGGCGCGGATTTGCCGGTTGACCCAGAGCAAGGTGGTGGCGTTGGTGGTATGCGGGCATTTGGCAAGGTCGATGAAGTGCTCGTAGATCGCGTTACGTAGCTCTGTCTCACGTGTCAGCTTGCGTCAGTTGAACAAGCAGGATGGTGGCACTTACCTCCAGGCAGGTCAAGGAGCGACTTCCCGCCGCGGCGATGTTGACTGTCGCTTCGTGAATCAGTGTGGGCTCGTGCAGAGTGATGTTCAGGCACGGCTTACTTGGTTGTCATCGCGACAATATGAGATAGTAGCTCAATTTATGGGTAGGCGTTGATGGAGCAAGTGTTTCTCAGAAACACTTGGTGAGTGTCGTAAGCAAAGTGAGTAACTTGACAAAGGCGGCAGGCCGTAGATCTGAGCCTCTGCCAAGACTGCGCTAAAAACATCAAGTGAGAGAAAAGATGTGGGTTCTCCATGGGCCTGCGCACCTGAGTGAAGACTGTTGATTGGCTTTTCATTCACCTGGTACCACAAATTGTACGTTGGTGCTTATCACAGTTGATAAAGATGGTCGAGATCACTGCGTCGATTCTAGGCGAAGCTGGCGTCCGCGCTATCGCATTTGCACAAGGGAATAGCAGTGACGACGAGGACAATTCGTTCCATATTCCAGAACTGGTTATCTAAGTGTTTGCATCTTGATAAGCAGACCATACCAGCGTCGGAGACTCAAACCGCTGTCTGATATCTCGCATCATGGAGCCCATCTTACCGGCCCAACCCAAATTTAGACACACCCTGATTCTGTAGCTCACAATAACACCTTACAAGATTCCACAAATATCTCTGGAAAGGTTGCGAGTGCTAGTACAGGTAACCTCCATATTCTGGACCATCTTCGCAGGTATCTGATCATCCTACTCCTCATCTGAAGTGTCTTCTTCGCTGTCCAGATCATCTGAGTCACTATCTGAGTCGTGGCTCAACTCTATCTGCACTTCGATGCCTCCACATTCAGCATGGAATCCCAACTCATCAGCTTCTTCTTGAGTAACGCCACTCTGGACCTTGATCAGAAGCATGGCATTGAAGGACGGATCGTGCAACGAGGAAATCTCGTCCGTTACGAACAGATCGATCTTGACGGCAGCTAACTTCTGAAATTCCTGGGCATCCATGGACTTCAGGTCAGACACGGTGGTGTTGACGTCATCGTCTTGGAATGGTCCGGAGTAACGGCCGTAGCTGGTGCCCATCTCCCACACGATGTCGATTGAGGGGTGTTGGCGCATGATGGAAACGACTTGGAGCAGATCAAGTGACCAGTAGGGCTCGTAACTGTCCTTCTTCTGACCCGGGTCGCCGAGTCCCACCTTGAATGTGTACTGAATGTCCTCAGAAGCAGCTCTGCTGTCGTGAACGAAGAAGAGATCTAGGAAGTCGCCGACGCGCTCGAATGAAATCCTTGTTTGACTTCGAAATGTATCAGATCGAAAGAGTGTCATAGGATCGCCGCACATTTGATATAAGAGGAACAATAGTTTAGCGCGCGGGTCCATCGATGGGTCGAGGAGTTTGTGTTGCTCCAGTAAAGCAATATCCATCTCAGCGATGACTTCTGTTACATGTCATGTTAGTTTGGGAGTGCCAGAGGAGTATGTCATGTAGATAATACCCATTTCTCGGTCAAGGGAAGCTGACCCCCAACAAGGGCTTTCGTTGCTAAATTTTTCAGCGTGTGTCAAGAGAGACAGAACCTCGTATATAACTTACCCGACCGTCATCGTGAAGTCGCGCGGTTGTGCTGTTACCGGTGCGAGAGTAAAGAATTCGAATGGTTGAGGAGGACGAGCCAAGGCACGCAGTAACGGTTAATCCGTGCAAGCGTTTGTTTGCACCTCCGCCAAGACTGCGCTAGGAATCTCACGGTGAGCGAGGAAAAGTGTGACCCTGCATTGAAATCAAGAGCTGAAACACGGGGGGACTGCGTAAATAACACGAAGCATTGTCCAAATGATTTCCTTGTACCGTCAACGCTGGTCATGCAGGTTGATGTCATTCATGGCGTATAGACTCATCAAGAGAATATGTTCCCACCATCTTAGCACGCCTCGAGTCATCTTCTCATACCCCAGTCCCATTTTGGTAGCCACGTTTTTCCCTAGCCACTACTTTTTATCGAGCCTTCCCTGCTGTCTGGAGTATCTTCATCGCCATCCTCGCCATCATCTCCATCATCTGAACTCTCTTCTTCACTATCTGAGCCATCCTCGTCGCCACTTGAGCTTTCTGAAGCCTCTTCTTCACTATCCGGACTCTGAACCCAAGCAAAACGTACATTAACTACTCCATGTTCGCGGTTAAGTCCCAGCCTAAAGGGATATAGTCCTGGGGAGGCATCCTTTATTGTGATCCAAACGAAAGCGCCTAGACGTGGGAGAAAGAAATTCGGGCGGTTGGTGGGAAACGCGCATATGTTGTACTCGATTGCTATTATCTTTTCGACCTTTCGAGCGTCCATACTTTCCAAAGTGGACATAACGGCGGTAATATCTCTAAACCATGAAATCTTGAGTAGAGAGTATCGATGCATGATCGCGACCACTTTCAGCAGGCCGATCAACCAATTCTGCGATTGCAACCAGTCGAAGGACAGATCGATGGTGAAAGGAATGACTCGCGGTTCTGAGTCGAAGTGGTGAGGGAAGAAGACGTGTAGGAAGCTGTCAACAAGCTCCGCGGGGATTGCGACGTTTCCGGATGCCAGACATAGCGATCCAAACTCAGAGTGTATCTGCTGACTGGAACGCACTAGTGCGGTAGCCTCGCCGACTGTAGGATCGAGGTCGATGAAGTGATTGTAGACGGCATTGCGGAGCTCTATGGTCTGGCGTTAGCTCGTCATGGGTAAACAACTTTGATAAAATCTTTACCTCCGGAAAGATCCAGGAACGACTTCCCGCCAGTATTGTCTCTGCAGCTTCGACTGTTAGCACGCACGCACTAAGAATGCTGGCTGGGTAACATACTTGACTGCCATGGCGGCGTTGCGCAGCGGGAGTTTGATCGTTTCGGAGTGTTGCTCCACGGGTGGGACGACTGTGTAGGAGCTTGGTGAGAGCTGTAAAGAAGGAATGTTGTTGTTGACGATGAGGCGTTTGTCAGTGTCCCGCCAAGACCGCGCTAAACCAAGGAGGGATAGTAAAAGTGAAGACACCTGGGCAATAGCTAACCTCCCTCTTGTCATCCTCCGTCCCCATTCATGAAAGCTATCGCAGCTATAGCGTATACCAAAGTACCATCTCAATGACTAGATCGAATGAAGATCAGATCGCAGTCTGAGTCAAAGGCGCACTCTATTCTTAAATTCCATCCGCATTACATGCACACCTGCAATATCTTCTGACCGCTCTGCGGATCGTCTTCGCCGTTGTCAGAGACTTGTTCGCCACTATCTGAATCTTCTTCCTCATCACTGAAACAATCCTCCTCAGGGTACGACCCCCAATCTGACCTTATACCCCGAGCGTTGACCTTCAATCTGATCTCCACTTCAATACCACTGCATCTGGTAGGGTATAACAACGCCTGAAGGGCTCTGACATCTTTCTTAGTCGCGCCTTCCTTCAAGGTAGGAGACAGGTGAGCCTCTACTCCGGACCTGCCGAACTGGTCGGGTTCGAAGGAGTTGTTCAGGGCGAGCTTGACGGAATTCAACTTCCCGAACAGTTGGACATCCATGTCCTTGAGGGCTGACACGGTGTACGCCACCCCTGAATCTTCAAATGCCGCTTCGTGAAAAACGTCGACCAGATTCCATGCAATGCTGATCAACGGGTAATGACGCATAACCGTGACAACTTCCAGCAAATCGAGCGACCAGTCAGCCTTTAGGCCTTCAGGGTCGCTTTGAGGTGCACCAAGCCTAACCTCAAACTTGTATGTAACGTCCTTCAGCGCCGAGTTGGGATATCGACCAAAGAACAAGTCGAGGAAGTAGTGGACGTGATTGAACAAAAGCCGACGCCCGCCCTGGTAGACCTGGTGTAGATATAAGGTCATAAACTCAGTTTGTACCTGTTGGTGTACTGAAGCCAGTTTGGAAGCATTACCGTCTGACAATCTAAGTAAAGCGCGCCTTTGACTCAGACTAAAGCCCGCTCGTGGTTTCGGATGGTGATCAACGTCGTCGATGAAGTGCTGATAGACAGTATTGCGCAATTCTGTAATCCTTCAATTAGCTTGTGAAAGCAACTTCGAACCAAGTGTATGTTTAATACCCCCAGGTAAGTCGAGGAAGTTCGTTGCCGTTTTGCCGCGAGGGTTGCCGACGCTGCCAGCGTTAGTACATGCCCAATAAGACAGGCTCCTGTGCAGGGCTCACTGCGTTGTCATCGTGACTTCTCGCGACTACCGCGCGTTTCTTGGGCGGGAGGCGACAGTACAGCCTTTGGTAGAGGGTTAGTCGAGCCTAGGTATTGATGTGTGCGGAGAAGCGCTTGTTTGTACCTCCGCCAAGACCGCGCTAGAAGGTCGAGCGAAAGTGAACGGAGCACAAGAGCTGGGAGATCATAGGACGTTGCACAAGTGAAAATAATCGATAGAGATATCTCTTACTAAACGTCTCAATACGCGCCCTCCCTCTTCTCATACTCCATCCCCATGACAGTCCCCACCTTCTTCATCCCACTCCAAATCTCCGCATCAACCTCCAGCTCCAAGCCCTCAACCTTCGTGGCCCCACCATCAAGACCCCAAAGCGAGACACCCAGGTAGTTCGTTCCATTGTAGTTCAAAATACCCTCCGTGACAGGGAACTTGACTTGCGGCCCCACATTACTAACATACTTCCCATACTGCCAGCCATTAACGTAAAGCTGGACGCGGTACGCAGGAACACTCGAACCGCCACTGCTACTGTTACCAGAAGAAGTGCCGTTGGTGAAGGTGAAGCTGAGCGGGATGTCGTAACCAGCTGGCATGCTGAGATCGAATTTCGTAGCGAAGAAACCGATTCCAGGAGCGGAGATGCCGTCGGCGACGGGGCCGGCGGAAGCAGTCCATCTAGCGTCGGTGGCAGAGAGAGCGCCGGGGAGGTGCAGACCCTGGCGTTCGACGTAGAGACCGCCTTCGTTAAGGGGGCCGCGCGAGATGTCGCGGTAATCTTCTCCACCGAGGTTACCGGTGAGCTTCCAGCTGATGTCGGAGGCGTCGTGGCCGGATAGCTTGTAGTCTAGGATACCGCGCGGGTTCTTCATTGTCTCGGTGCCGATGGTCCAGTTCTCGTCGAGACCTTGGTTGTCGACTACGACCGTGATGGTGTACTTTTTTCCCTTGGTCAGGTTGGGCATGGTGAATGTGGCGCTTCCGTTCAGGGCTGCGTCGTATCCGCGCCATGAGCCGAGGAATTGGTCGCCGATCCAGGCGGATGAGCCGAATGCTGAGCCACCTTGGGTGGTGAGGTTGAAGGTTGTCTCGTTTCCGGACGCAGTGAATGTGCCACGGAAGAGGAGTGTGCCTGTGTGGTAGCCGTAGTCGGAGCTGTAGAGCGATACGGGGGTGTCAAGGGGACGCAGAGAGTTGTACGTCTTCTTCAGGTCGGCCGCAGTCCACTCACTGTCATCGTATCCGGGTTGGATCTCAGGAAGCGAGTCGACGTACTTCCACTCGAGCTCACTGAGCTTGGGTAGGCTGACATCTGGCTTGGCGAATTCAATATCGGCGCACAAAGTTCCTTGCTCGGAGGTGGTGAAGTCGATATCCTGGCCGTTGAAAGTCATCTTGGACACATCAGATGACGCGCCGCCAAGAATCTCAACAGTGGTCGTAGCATTGAGATCACCAGTGAGTGCAAGAGTGTCGCCAGTGACGTTGGCAGTGCGCATCAGGTAGCCTGCCTTGAGAATGACAGGATTGGACGAGTCGTGGGGTGCCTGGTCGACGGCCCAGTAGTTGAAGGCTTCGACGCGGTCGACCATGTAGACGTAGATGGAGCTGTCAGCTCCAACCTTTGCCAGCTTTCGACCTCCATCGGCCTTGAAGTTCAAGACTGTGACTCCACTAGTAGTCATGCTCTTGACATCGCCTTCGACGACTTCCAGTCCAGTAGCAGCAAGGGCCAATTCGTGAGTCTCTCCAGGCCCACCGTACACGACCAAAACGGTCTTGTCATCATACTTGTGCCAAGTGAAGACTTCGGCAGTAGAGTAGACAAGGGTGGTGCCACCAATGTCATAGTCGCTGACGTGGATCTTGGAATCGCGGCCGTTCAGCGTCAGGGAAGTGCCGTTCATTTGGGGTACAGTAATGTTGCCCAATGTCGACGTTGCAACGTTGAGCTTGTACGTTGTGGAATCTAGCGAGTTGTACTTGGAATGCCTGACGAAGTAGAATGTCGTCTTCTCGTTGGTGGCGGGAGTAACGCTAAGGTCACTGCTGGTAGTCCACTTGGAAGTCGAAGCATTGCCACGTGCAGCCGTGAGGTACGCGGGGCTAACCTTGAAGAAGTTTGCCTGGAGCTTTAGCTCGGAGTACTTCGCGCGGTCGACTTGACGGTCCTCCTTGATCGGTGCAGCGTAGTCGTAGCTGGTGTAGCCACCTGGGTGACCAAGGTTGCCCCAGTTGGTGCCACCGTAAGTCATGTACAAGTTCAAGATGGTGACACCGAAGCTGTAAAGTTGCTTGTAGAAGACACGGTTGAACTCTGCGCCCACCAGAATGCCACACTTGTCGAAACCGGGTCCACCCCAAGGGTCAAAACTGCCAGACTGGAACTCAACGATGGAGTAAGGCGTAGTGGGGCTCTGCTGCTCGTGAAGTTGATGCCAGTTTGTTGGAAGATTGCCATCTGGCCATGTGGTTGGGTTGGCACAGTCGAACCCAAGAGGATATCCATCGTGGCCGTAGATGTCAACAGCCGCAGGTTGACCGGGCGCGTTGTTGCCCTTAGCGGAGGCGTCGTTGCTGATCAAAGGCACGATAATACCGGCGTCGCGAATCTGATCTTCGACGTATTGCATGTAGACCGGATCCGGGAAAGGCTTGATAGCCGAAGTGGCTTGTGTGTACTCATTCTCGGGCTGAACGAGAATGATTGGTCCGCCGTTGGTGATCTGCGCAGGCGCAATTGTCGCCAATACGTTCTTCATGTAGCTATCCCACTATCAGCAATGTGTTGCCTGAATCTCATGAATATACATACTTGTCGGTCGCCTCAAGGAAGTCTGACGCACGCGTTCTCAGCGTGCCATTGACTCTCTGGATCCATCCGGGGAAGCCTCCACCAGATACCTCGGCATTGATGTAAGGGCCTGGTCTGGCGATGAGGTAAATGCCAGCTTCCTGTGCAGCATCGAAGAAGGGCTTCAGATCAAAGACACCCTCTTCGCGGTAAACACCGGGCTTGCCTTCAAGCAGCGCCCAGTCCACGTAGAAGGAGACACCATTGTATCCAAGAGCCTTAATCTTCTGGAAGACATCGGAGTAGAGATCAGGTACCGGTAATCTGTACGGGTGGACTTCGCCAGAGTACAGAAAGATGCGTTCTCCATGTACGAAGAGTGAGTCTTCATCCCATGTGACCTATAATGTCGGTTAGCCATCATCGATCCGAGATATTGTATCAACTACAAAACTTACGATATCTTGCAAAGCCTCCCTCTTATATGGCTTAATCCATTGCTGAGGCGAATACCCCACAGCCCTCGCCGCAGTCTCAACCGCAAAGCATCCCAGCGCAACCGCGCGTGCAAGCTTTGAGAAGCTCTTCATATTGACCAAGATACGAAACCAAAGGTCAATTTGCTTGTAGCTTGGCCAAAGTTCGGCGGGGAGGAGCCAGCAATATAAGCTCTGCGGAACTTCACGCGTATGCATGTAGCCGAGCCGGGATCTTAACTCGTTCCTGTTCAATGACAGCATCGCCTCAATTTTCCGCGTTGCTCGTGCCATCGCGATCCGAGCGTCCATGCTTTGTTTACCTTGTAGGCTTCCCCAGGTATACGGACGCCCGATCAGTGGCGGTAGCGATACCGCTGCAGGCTTGGGCTGACGATAGCTCTAAATACCCGGATCTACTACAGGTACATCATGAAATCGTTCGTAAAGATACCTTCCACCACCTCCCCTCCTCCTCCCCTCCGCCTCCCCTCCGCCTCCCCCACCCACCCATTCTTTCCTCGTTCCTGTCAGGTAATGACAGCATCGTTTCCACGCCGCTCGTGCCATTGCGATCCGAACGCACATACCTCATTTCCCCAGCGACTTTCCCCAGTCTTGCCCCATGTTGAGCGTGCTAAGACCGCGTGTTGAACCGGATGAGTAGCCGTAGCGATACTAGCATGGTCTAGGATGCGGCGAAGCGACCAAAACGCAAGTACCGATTCCACCAATATCGCAGCTTGGATGCTTGTTAGTGGAGTCGATGCCCGCATCTCGGTAGAGGCAGGCGGGGAAACATGTCCGATGTGCGCCATGGCCGTTGCCCAGGCGGTGCAGAAGGGCGGCGATCAGTGGGGTTAGCGTGAGGGTTAATGCTTGGTCGTATAGTTGTGGATGCTTGCGGAAGCTTGGGTTGAAGCCTTTCCGCCCTGGATTGGGAAAGGCATCCGCGGTGTGATGACGACGGGCATCGGGGAATTTGTTCGGAGGTCGTTTCTTGGGGATAATTGCGGATGGAATGACTGGGGTGAGTTGCGACGGCATGGGTTGATGATGATGGGATGTGGGGGAGAGTTACCGAGGTACATCAATCTGGGACCTGACGTAACAACCTTGGAAGTGCCATGATGGTGCCTGATCATCGCGAAAAGCAAGCAACCATGTTCGGCGCGCGCTAGGGAAAGAGACACTCATCTCGAGTCTTTAACACGTCCTGTATCGCTGGATCTCCCATGAACCTCTCAAGAATGACTCCATCAAAGTGCTTCAGAAGGTCAAGCTATTCATGTGCTCAGTTGCCGTTGGGCAGATGGCGACGTCAATATCATCAATCTCATTTATCAGGGATCGGTCGAAGACGCTCAGGCCAAGAGTAGTAATAACCGATTGCACCGGATCTAGAAACATGCTATACGATACGTGCATCTACAGTGCATCTACATGTGCATACATAAAGCGATCGATCCGCCCACGACTCTCCCGTCGCATGCCCAACTCAAAATCATCGCATAACAACAAGTACCCGCCTATGAAGAAACAAACTCCGCTACATATCATCCTGTCGCCCTTAGGAATCTAAATGGCACACCGACGCAGCCAACCGAAGCAAGAACCGCAAGATGCGCCGAAGGAAGGAGTGGAAGAATGTGGATGACAACAAGCCAAACGGATATGCTGAGAAACAAACATGACGAAGGACATTCGTCGCAACATTGCTCACGCGCCAAACACTTCTTGACGCCAAACATCGCGCAGTGCAAAGACACCACCGACCCCACAGACCTACTGCGGCGGATACGAATACCCAGACTGATAATACCCGGAGTTATCCGGGATAGTCGGAAAGCCATATTGCCCCCAATTGTTGAAATCCTGAGCACTATCACCAATCATGACATCGCCCGCCCAGCCATTGGGGAAAGTAGCAGCGCCGCAAATCTCCATGTTCACTTTCTGCTCCTGTATCTCTTGTGGTCGTGCCTGTGGCCATGGTTGATAGACGCCGTGTATCGGGACAGATGCGGGGGCTGACACAGGCGATTGGTGGGGATCAGACTGCTGGAAAGGACTTCTCAGGGGATGCTGAGTATTGGGATACGCGTATGCTGGGTAAGTTTGTTGTGGTGAAGTCTGTACGCCGGGGCGCATGTGAGGGTTTTGGTCGTAAGAAGGCGTACGGCCCCCATGCGCGTAGGTTGATGGTTGGGTGACTGGAGGAGGAGCTGGAGGTGTTTGTTGACCATTGTGGTTGACAGCAGTGAAGCCGGACTGGTTACTGGACTTTTCCTCCGGCGCGCCTTGCATCTCATGCTTGACTGACGCGGTGCTGGTAGGCAAAGTGCGCTCTGCGGAGTCTTCGTCATGTGGCAGTCTCGTATCCGCGAGGTCCTTATCCCTGTCGGGCCATTGTCCGTCGTTGTCGTTAGCGTTAGCAATGTCACCGAACTGCTTATGCGTTCTTTCGAAGAGCTGTGCATAGTCTTTCAGCCCACCGCTAGCGACGCCATCGCTGGAGTTGCTCTTTGGAGAATCATCGATCTGGCCGCTTAGCTCTCGGTACTTCTTTCTCTCACGACGGTAGTATCGTTGCCATTCTGCAAGTTGACTTAGCCACGAGCGGGCCATCTTGAAGCGACTCAGAATGCGTAGTAGGAAGCCGTTTGCGATATCATGGGCTCTAGGGTCTTTACGAGATGAGAGGGCGTCGTCCGGGTCCATGTGAGGAAAGTAGTGGCAGTAGATGGCTGGGGTGGTTAGCAATACCCAACCAAAGCACTGTTAGATACTTACTGCCTATTCCAACGGCAAAACAAGAGAAAGCTACCGTTGGCGTTTGTACTAGATTGCTATGAACTTGTGAGTTCTCGATGGTATGAAGTAGTGTTGTGAAGTCGAGGCAGGCTTTCCAACAGTCTTTGGCTTGCTTGATCCAGTAGTCAGGGTCAGGGGGTTTCTCATCAATTAGTGGCTCATCCAACGGGCCGCGGGGATACGTCAACGTCCATGGTGATGTGGGCATGTACTCTCTGTACAACCACACAAAACACAATGTGTACATTGCATGTATCGCAACGTATTTGCCGGGCGAGTTGTAGCTACGGTCGTCGTTGTTGTCCGAGGTCAGCTGAAGGTGATCAGGAAGGTCGCGCTTCAACTGCTTGAGTTTGTCCTCCAATTTCTTGAAGCCAGTCGTTGCGCACCACGGTGGATTCTTGCCTTCTTGTCTACACGTTGTCAGTCAGATATCGCGGCGGAATGAACGAGGCAAACGAACCTTCTGCCACGTTTACAGGACCATTGTGAGACCTCTCCGAAGATCACAACGACTTTGATGTACCATGTTAGTTCTGCCTCCCCCTCAGCAACTTCCCACCTTCCCCCGTCCAGGGCGCTGGCTCGATCTGCTCCGTCGTGGTCATTACGGCGCTCCTCAGCATGTTTGTTCCATCGTTTCCTCCGCGCAGTATACATCGCATCGTCTTCACCCAGAAGCCTTGTCCTTGCTCTTTTTCCAAAATTGAACGCGCCATCGCTACAGACAAGTTGAGTTCTTTGAAGTTGATCGGGCGTAAGCATCCTCGGCCGATCCTCCCCCCAACTCAGATAGCAGTCCATGAGGACGCAGCTCCAAAAGGTACGCCGCTGAGTCTCGCGAAGTATGAATTGGTCCTTTTCCGAAAGGCCCTTTTCACAGTCTTTCAGTGGTGCAGGTAGTCCGCTTTCATCGACATCCAGGTGCGGGTACCCAAGGCATATGGCAGCTCTGATAGCAATCCCGACCTTCATCCAGCCCTCAGTACCTTGCAAATTGGTCCATTCATAATACCCCAACATGAGGAGTGTTTGGATCTTTTCCACATTCGGGGACCCAATGATATCCGTTCCCATCTGCGTGCGAGTCGCCGATGCGTAGAATTCGGCAACCCTGATCGGGTCATTACCCATTTGCGCTACGAGCTTGTCATGGAAACGAGCAGTCTGGGTAAGGAAGGCTAAGAGCAAAGGCGCATACACGCGCGGCGTTGGAGCTTGAGTCGGAGTCTTAACTTCAGATGAGCTGCCAGATGAAGGCGGCGGCCGCACAGAGCTGAGGAAAGTTCGCTTATGCAAGAAGGGGAAGTCGGTAGAGAAATGCTTCTCATAGATGTCAAACAACTCTTCCCAGACCTGGGAAGTAAGCAATGGTGATTGAAGAGCATCTTCAGGCGAGCCCAAGCCTTCTACCGAGCGTTGCGCTGTAGTCGACGTTGGTGCTAGCAACTTGCGTCGCTTCTTGGGCGGGGCCTAGGGGTGTCAGCGCTAGCACGTGATATAGCCCAGGACGTGAACTCAGCCACGAACGTTGATATGCAATACGACTAAAGGAGTACTGGGAGACAAAAAAGGATGACTTACATCAAAATCGGCCGTGCTATCGCGGCGCACAGATCCTGTGCTGCTTGCGACAGCCGCGTGGTCCCAGGTACAGTCGCGGTTGGTATTCGCGCAAGCCTTGCACGTCGTGCCCTGACCGGTGTTTTCGCACTTGGTCTTGCTTCGGCGACATCTGGTGCATGCAATCTGCGAGCGCATGCCTCGTTTTGCTGAGGGCTCAGCACTGCCGCCGCTGGCATCAAGGGGCCCGGGAGTCTGCTGCGGAGACGCCTTGACGGTGGATGGAGACAGCTGGGTTAGGGGAGACTGCAGTTGCTGATGCTGTCCGGGAGGAGATGGCGGCCGTTGATGTCGTTGTTGTGGTGGGTAAGCAGGCAGTGCAGTTAGCCGCGGTGCATTCTCTCCGGTCATGGGAAGATGCGCGACGGCGCCCAGCTCAGGCGGTGCGCGAATATTGGCGATGAGTGCAGGGAGTTCTGAGAACGGGTGTGGATGAAGAATGGCGGTGCTGCGAGGCTGCGCGCGTCTTGTTGATCGAGTCTTCGGGTGATGTTGCTGCGATGTGCGGGCCGGAGAGATGGGATGGTTGCCGGAAACGCCAGTCACGGGCTGGGGCCGAAGATTACCAGACGACGACGACAAGATGCAATGCAGGTCGGAGTTGTTGCGCAATCGTCGCGTATTCCAGGGCGGCAGGCAGCACAATCTGCGGTCGCTCGGATCGTGTGGTTCCAGCGTTGGGTGCTGGCTGGCGTCTGCCTTCGATGCTGCGGGCACACGGGTATTAACGTTGGACCTTCCCTTCCGACGGGACGAGAGCAACTTGGCGTTGGTCCTTGCAGCGAGTGCTGCCATAGCATACCGTGGTATTTAAGCGATCGCTTCATCCGACAAACTTACCAGTCACCGCGATTTCTCTGCCGGTCTGCCGTCATGAGCTTATGCTTACCCTGACAGCCCACGGCCAGACACCCCAGCGGCCCAGCTGTTGGCCGCCGCGCAGTCGCAGCAGCAGCCTTCCACTTCACCAGCGGCCCGGTTAGCACCGCATCTCCATCTATCGCTAATCCCGCCTGGTCCGAGTCTCTCAAACGCCTCCCTCTCTGCTTGCCCCAGCACATGAGCTGTCGCACGCAGAACGGGCGCTGACACGTGGGTGGGCCTGCATGCAGTAGTAAGGTGTCGCGGAGCCTTATGGCGCACGTACAAATACGCCCAGTCGATTGCGTTTGGCTGTCAGCCAGGCGCTTCACCGTCACCTTACTCTAGTCCGTCAGAACCATGCCCATCGTCGCCAGCGCATGTCCCGCATGGTTGTATGCAAGGCTCCGAACGGTGCAACACCTTCACATGATGCGAGCCTCTCGTCTATCTTTTGCCCCATCCAGCTAACTACGCATATCGCTACCTATGATATCGCCAGGCCGTGTTGGCCGGTAGACGTAGCCTCGTTGTCTTACTTCCGCGGGTCTGGAAGCGGCATCAATCTCGATGGCTCGGCCTTAGCATTTGCCTCTGCCCGGCAAATCACCTCGATGCGCTCCAACGACTCTGCGTCTCAACGACGTTGTAGATGAAAGGTGCCAGGGGTTCTCGACTACCCATGGATACGCCGCACTCGTACGTCAGGCCAAATGGGACATTTCTCCCCTCGCCACGGTTAGCGAACTATGTCGCGCATGCGCATGCGACCAAGTTCAGCCTGACATTGATGAGTGAGATTTTCTGCAAGTGGCCCAATCTGGCTGCTGCACGATCGGTGTAGACCTTGCATCTTATCTGCCCTCGGGCATATTATGTCGCACCCGTTCTGTCGAAACTGTGGTACGTGGAGTCTAAATCAAGTTTTGATCATTTTATCGCCTATGGCGGGAGGTAGCCAGGAGGTATTTAATGTACTTCGATTGGTCATGTAATCTTCAAAAAGCTACTTGTAGCCTCCAGCCTCTTACACCTGGTCTGCCTCTGAGCCCTGGAGCCTATGCGGGGCAACTACAGCCTATCTATCCCCTCCTGGTGTATCCTCCGTACGATGCGCTTGGACCACGTCCAATCATCGCATTTGCCGTTGAAGGGCGATCTTGACGACGTAGGCCCACGAACTTGGCCATCCGGTCTCGAGTCGCCTGGATAGCGGCGGTGACTTTGGACTGCGGTTTACCAGTCTCGACTTTGATGAGCTCTTGAGCAGGAGCTTCATCGACCTTGACCGCGGGCTTTTTCATCTCGACCACTTTGGCCTCTGTCGAAGATGAGACGATAGGAGACGATGCGACGGTAGCCGACTTCTTGGTGAAAGAAGGCATCGTGAACCCAAAGGACGGGACGGCGATGTGTTTGCTGTATTACTGTTGGAATACCATCCCTGCTAAGACAAAGTGAAAGAAACTTACGGCTCGTCCGGAGTCTTCCCTCCACCTTCAGACGACTTTGATGTCGGTTTTGACGACCAGCGGGAGCTGCCGAGGCCAGACATGTTATCGATCTATCGCGTGTCAGTAATGCGCACCGACTACATTGTCTCTCGACAGTGAGCATACCTTGGTATAGTGGCGATGTATTCGGTAGCGGGTATGATGTGCAATGTTTCCTGGTTACCGAAATGTTGTTTTGGGTAGTAAGAAGAGACAAGAAAGTCAGATCGACAAGATTATATATACCGAGGACCTCCTAGCGTACTCGTGGTCACCTCGAAAGATCATGAAAACAAAGTGAAGGCATCCACGGTGACGCAGAATTTTACTGCGATATCAGAGATATTGACGCGGTGACGCAGGATCTTATACCTCCGGCGAACAATATTTGTTTGCTATTGATACTAATGACACTCTCATGCGCCATTCTCCTATCCTATAGTCCTCTCAGCGTGAAAGCCCGCACCTACCACTTCTCAACCGCAGGCCTCAGATCAATCTCCCACGTAAAGTTCGTCTTTGGCTGGGTATGCAACCACCAATAATCGTTCGCAATCTATATCACCCGTTAGTGAAAGACACTGCGGTATCAAGGAAGTTACTCACAGCATCAGCGCTCAACTTCGCCTCCTTAGGCATATCCTTCAACCACTCCTTCGTCCTCGGAATATCAATAACCCCATCAATAATCGCATGCGCAACATGCACCTGTTCATCACAATACCGCATTAGCAAAATCGTCCACTCCACACCTCGTCCACAAACAATATCGACAACAATAGAAGGGAAAGAAAAGACTAAACACTAACACCCTGCGGTCCAAACTCCCTCGCCAAACTCTGGCTCAACGCCCTCAACGCCCACTTCCCCGTCGAGAAACTCGCCATTTGCGCATTACTCTTCACACTCGCCGTCGCCCCCGTAAAAATCAGACTGGGCGGATAACTGTCCTCACTCCCCCTCTCCACACCCTTAAGCAACAACGGCAAGAAAGTCTGCGAAAACAACACACCCCCCATCCCACTAACCCCCAACCCCTTCTCAAAAGTCTCGACCGGAATCTCCAAAAACGGCTTCCGCATAAACGCACCAGACGCATTGAAAATCGCTGCTGCAACCCCCACCCCATCTCCAAACTCACTCTTTATCTTGGAGAGGGCGGAAGACAGGCTGGAAGAAGAGGATACGTCTGTGGCGATGCCGAGGGCGCGGCCGCCGGCGGCGTTTATTTCAGAGGCGAGAGAAGAGAAGGATTCGGGGGTGCGGGCGAGGAGCACGACGGGGTAGGTTTGGCTGAATTTGCGGGCGACGGAGGCGCCGGTTCCGGGGCCGACGCCGGCGATTATGGTGATGAGTTTGGATTTGGGGGACATAGCTGTGTGTATTGGGTGTTGAGGTTTGGGAACGGGGTTGAGATGGGATGTGTTGGGTGGATGTGTTGGGGATCGGTAGTCGAGGAGGATGGGTGTGCTATGTAACGAACAAACGTAACAATGGTCTTATATCTTGCTACAGTCCTCGGTCCCTTGGTTCGCTGTTTAGTAAACCGACTCGAGATTGGAAATGGGGAATGTTGCAAGGCTGATTGCATAACATGTGGAGATAGCTAGAGCGCGAGGTGCGTCATGATTAATAAGCCACCCCCTCTCTCTCACATGTATGTACACCATGCCTACACTCTCCACATACTCACAGAACCCATCAGTTCATGGTAAACAGCAGTATGCCTGATTTAACGTAACTTCGTTGATGCATGACTCTACTCTTCCCCACATCATGTCACTTCCCCCCTACGCCCTCCCCGCCCTACCCACCTGAATCATCTCCCCAGTAGGTTTATCGTCGCTCCTGAGGACCGGCCAGCTAGCTCCATCCGCCTTGACCAGCGTCATCTCGAGCTTCGTGCCTAGTATCCTGAACTTGCTCTCTTCCGGCTTGATAGTCGAGAAGAGGGGGAATTCGGTTTGGTAGCGCTTGCTGTCTGAGGTGGGGAGATCGAGCTTGACGTGTGTGGGTTGGAAGTCGATGACGGCGGTTGCTTTGTCGATTTTCTTGAGGTAGAGGGATGCGACGACCGAGGTGGCGGTTTGGTAGTAGTCGTGTCTGGGTGTGGGGTTAGTAGGTAGTCTTGTATGGTCTTAATGGGTGAACGTACCGAACTGTCTCTAGTTTCTCCTCGCCCTCCTTCTTCTTGCCGCTGCCGATGAACAAATGTCGGTCTTTCGTCTTGCACCCCTCGATCTTCATGAACTGATCAAACTCCATCACCCGCCTCTTACAGCAACTCCACCCCTTGCTGCCCTCGTGGAAGATGGGCGCACCGGGGTGGTGTATGCAGCTCTCTCCGTCCCTATCGCCTCCCTTGTGTGTCGCGCCGCATCCTTTCCTCCGACATGTCATGCCCTCCTTGATCTCTAGACTCGGGTCGTCGTCCTCGGATTCTGGCGGCGGCGCAGGCGAAGCGCTCGGCTTGGGCGTGGCTTGTGCGGTGGGTAATCGGGGGGCGGGCGCAGGGAGGGATTCCTCGAGCGATCCGAGGTTGACTTGGGTGTCATTGGGTACGTCGGGGGCTTTGACGGGCTCGGGCTTGGGTGTGTCGTCGACGTCCGAGTGCTTGCCCTTTGTGCACGGCTCGATTGCGAGGAACTCGTCAAAGGTTAAGACGCGTGGTTTGCAGCATTCCCAGCCTGGGGAATCGCATTAGCACCTTTTCTCGTCTTGTTGATATACGCGTTGGTGGTGCTGACCTACCTTTCTGCCCCTCATGGAATTTGGGTGGGCCGGGATGGTAAACACACTCCTCATCCTCGTCCTCGTACGTCTTGCCGCAGCCCTTGTGAACACACTTCTTCGCCATGGTTATCGATTGCCGTGAATAACGCGCTTAACGAGTGGAGAGAAAGGTCGGATGCGCGCTGTTTGTCGTGTTGCGATGCCCCAGATTTTGTTCCGAACATTCTGGAAATCAGCCGTCATCATAGGGTCCAAGCGCGAAGCTTAATCGATATCCTGGCCGTTGAAGCTTTCCATCTTCGGAATTTCCGTCGCGTCAGCCCAAAGCTCTCCGTTTGTATTGCACGCTCGTAGTCATCGGTACTGAGAGAGTGTGTGGGTTGTCAACACATCGCCACCATGTTCCGCGCCACATCCCGCCTGCTCGCTTGCCGCGTCACCTTCTTCACCCGAACCCCATGCGGCCTATGCGACACGGCTAAAGCTGTCGTGCAAAACGTTAAGGCGAAAAGGCCTTTTGATTACGAGGAGATCAATGTCATGGACGCAGGGCAAGAAAAGTGGAAGAGCGCGTACGAGTTCGATACTCCGGTGGTAAGCCGACCCGGACCACGGATCTATATATGCGTGTAATGCACAGAGTACCTGAATGTTCAACCAGATCCACATCGACAAAGCCGAAGCTAAGGAGACGACTACTTCGTCGCTGAAGCTTATGCATCGGTTCAAGGAAGAAGACGTGACCAAGGCCATGGATCAGGTAGAGCAATCTTGAAAGCATCGTCACGTCGTCTGCCCAGGTCGGATCTCATTTTACGTCTACGTTACGAATCAATCGAGCTGCTTCTGTAAGATCTCTCGTGGGATAAAGCAGAGTAGTGTTTTGCATGATCCATGGTCCTTCCCACACTTTCCACCCTCGTCCTGTCCATGTCCCGCTTACCGAACGTCATCATCGATGCATCCACTTCTAGCTGCGCGAATCCGTGGTTGTAGATACAGTGAGTATGTCGGCCAGCGTAGTCTTTGGGTTGCGGTAGACGTCGGCTTCAAGGAAGTCCCTTGCAATTTGCTCCTACCACAGAGTCAGCCAACATTACGACTCGCGTAGCTTCACATACTGCTTCTTCTAGCTCTGCGGCTTCGTCTTCTGGCATTTGACAGCATGCAGCTACCAGATCTTCTCCGCGAACAGAGAGGAGGATGAGGTTCTCCGCACGTTGTATAATTTCTGGAGGGACGCCGTTCATGGCGGCACAGCTACGGTCATGTCAATGAAGATACGTCACGTCAGGGCTATCGACTTACCATGTACCAAAGCTTGAGGTGCTTCGGCCTTCGCGGAAGCTAGGCGCTGTTAGCATGCCTCGTTGCCTACTTACGACGCAGACTCACTTGTAAAGATACGTGATTTGGTCATTGACTTCCGAAGCATCAGCATCGATGCGTACTTCCATGTGCCCGAATGCAAGAGCGGGTCTCGGCTTAAGCAGGTTCATTTCGAAGATTTCTGGTACCTATTAGCAGCTGACGAATGGATGATCGATTACCACGCACCATGGAAATGCGTAGCACCAATGACCTTCGGTCGCTCAGATCCCAGACTCAGCAAGTACTCCATGACTGCGCATGCCAGGCCAGCGCCATCACTAGACTCAGTTCCCTTGCCAAACTCATCAATGATGAGCAAGCTGCGACGCGTCGCTAAGCTCAGCGCGAGGGATATCTGCTGCAGATCTATCATGAAAGCACTCTGGACACGAGACACTGTCTCGCGCGTCGTGACTCTAGAAAGGATCTTGTCCGTCAGCCCAATCTTTGCGCTATCTGCCGGGACAAAGCACCCGACATGGGCCATGTATACGATGAGCGCGACCTGCTTCAGGTACACGCTTTTGCCTGAGTAGTTGGGCCCAGTCAATACAAGCATGCTTGCGCTGTCTTTGTGCGCGTAGGTATGGCGACTTGCAGAGCTCGTAATCGGTTGGGTACCGGTACCATAGCTATCATCGGCGTCTTCCTCCGAAGCTCCATCCCTCTCCCCGCCTCTCAGAGTCGTATCGTTCGCGACGAAGGATGATACTGTGAGCTCTTGCAGGATGTGGCTAGACTGAAGTCAGTGGCTACGTGCCGCATCCAGAACGACCCGACTCACCGGCCTCCCTTGATACGTATGACATTATCGTGGGTCATCCGAGGGCGACAAAGCTTGTAGATTTTCGCGCCTTGTGCTAATGCAAGAAGGCTATCAAGCTCTCCGCATACGTCCGAACAAGATGTCAGCAGATCTTCATATTGAAGCAGATACTGCGCGAGCTCGTGGCTAATCTCAATCTCGCGATCTGATATAATGCCGTACACGTCACCAAAGTGATCATCCATCTCTCGGGTTTCGCTGTTCTTGAAGTAGACCTGCTCTTCAGTGGCAAACATCCTCTCCCAAGGACTGTCGAATGTGCCTTCATATACGGCGTCTCCACTCAGTTCATTGACGGGAGTGGTGCAGAGAAATCCGATTTGCGGAAAGTAGATGACATTCAGGGTGGCGCCTAGTCTGGTCAGTATTTGCCGTGGTGTAACTTTGCAGTAGCATTCTCAGCATTGTCAGGAGCGTATCGACGTACGGATGTCAGAAGGCATCTTCTCAGACAGCTTACGCGCTACTCGGTTGAGAAAGTCGTCAAGACTGTCTAGAGTCCTTTTCATCTGGTCCAACTCGTCGTCAACGCCTGGCATGATGACAGTCCGGCCTTCTTCTGCCGAACTAGCCAAGTCAATGGTCTCACTGATCTTCCTTCCGATCTGGGCTAGGTGATAACCTTCAAATTTCTCGAAGACCTGCAAATGTCAACATCGTGATCCCACAAATCGCCACAGGCTGTTAGCACAGCCTTGTGGTGATCATCAGGCTAGTGATTGTAAGTACCTTGTTCCTGATAGTTAAAGTCTCACCGCCGAGAACATCCTGCAATGTGTCTTTGATCTTGAGGGCATGGAATGCAAACTATCATCATCAGTCTGATGACGTACGGTGGTGGTTTTGCGAGCCGTACCGCTCGGATAGATGTCCATATGCTTTTGGAAAAGCCTCCGCCTGCTTTAGTTGAGCCACCCACGCCCTTTCTCAGGTTGACCATGATGGCACGCATATTGCTGACGTTCTTCAAATTCTGCACGAGTGCTTGTAGAGCAGGGTCGTTATCTGGACGAACGAAGACCCCTATTGTGCTCAGTCTCTCGTTGATGATATCGACGTTGAGGCTAGGGCGAAGGAATTGTTGCCGAAGCAGGAACCTTCCTTGTGGTGTTCGCGCTAGATGATGGAATAGCCCATACACGGAGAGCCCTTCCTTTTCGCCGGAGCTCGCTTTGGTCGGCCCTTTGTTGTGCGAGTGCGGATGTGATTCGGCACCCATAATCTGCAAGGAATGAAGTGTATCTGCGTTAATGAACATAGTCTCTCGAAGACTGAACATCTCCAGCGTTGTGATACGGAACATGAGATAAGCCGAGCGATCGCCAGGCAGGTATGCCGCAGCGCGTCGACGTTGAAGATACGATATAAGTGCTCCAGCGCAGCCGACCTGTGCAGTATTAGCGGCGCATCTTCCATTGGAACCGCGAGAATACCGTTGAACGG